GTCCCAGGATCCACTGTTTGTTGTCAGGTTTCAAACGCTCCAGAACCGAGAGCTCAGTTTCTCTCGTTTACCGACGCCACCATCTCAGTGGTGCCGTTCACCTCCGCGCCTCTGTTGCCAGGCAACTCCTGACACTCTGGGAATGTGGAGTGAACACGGACCGCCGTGCCACTTCCACGATGCTCTGCACCACCGTAGGTTCTCCAGTCACCCACACTGAGGAGCAGCGACGAGGCGGTGCTTCAGTCTGATTGGTCATGTGACTTCTCTTCTGTTCTTCTGGACCAAACAGATTATTAACATGAATTAAAGTGATACTGGAATATTAGGGAACTGTGAAACTGTGATTTACTGAGGCAGCGATGGTTCAAGTACCATTTTCCAACTGGTCAGAACCAAAGTACTATGAAAGTATTTGTATTCTACTCCTATAAATACACACAGAAATCAAAGTGACAGATTTGAGGTGGAACTTTGATCCAGAACATCAGGTCTGATACTCGTACCTTTAGTCCAAGACCGGTGCCGATCCGGTGACCGATTGTTCCCGACAGTTTTTCCCACCGGTCACTCAGTGTCGTGTGTTTCCTGTCGACTGGTTTCAGATGAGACGAAACAGACAGAATTAGCCTAAAGTCAGGTTGAATCCCGTCAGCCAATAGCAGCACAGGTGACCATAAAGGTCTGCTGCTCTTAATTATGTGAGGATTAATTATCTGATTGGGTTTAACGAGCAGGGGACTGAACGGAACCGATGACTCACCGTCTGGGTCAGTGAGGGGGAGTACGACGTGACGACGGTCGGAAATATTAGGATTCATGGTTAGGTGTGTGACCTGTCAGATCGAGTGACCTGTCAGATCATGTGACCTGTCAGATCATGAAAACAATTATGTTTTTGTACCGTGTCTTGCTTTTATACCGACCTGACTTTGACGACGACCTTGGAGGGATGCGCCCCACTATTGGAACAGCTGCTGTAAACACAGTTCATTACATGTTAGACTACGATCGACCATTAGATCCCCCCCCCCCCCCCCCCTCACCCCCTGACCCCCATAAACACAGTAAACAATCTCACCTTCAACAACGCTGTCCTTCAGTCGACCTGTGATTGAGACCAAACATGAAGACGTCACTGGTCGACTGCAGCCAATGACCGCTGATCACCTCTGACCTTCGACCTTTGACCTGAGCAAACAGCTGCATCATCAAAGTGTTGGGAAAAGGCTTATGTGGTTTTGTGGACAGTTTAAATCCCAGACCGGCTCAGTCTGGTTCTGTCAGGTCGTCGGCCGACATCGCAGCCGTCACCCGTCTGTGACACTGAGCGCCACCTGCTGGCTGATGAGCGGAGGTTTGAGTGTGACACCGCGTGAGACCAGAACTGAAACCAGGTCGCTGGTGTTCAGGCTGTACCTGCAGCGCGTGAAGTACCTGCCTTCCCTCGC